GGAGGGAGCTGGTGGTTCGTAGCTGCCGGATCTCCGGGTCATCCACTTGGGATGCAGCCATGGCCTCTGGGTCTATAGTGAACTGGTTTGCCTTAATCGAGTGGCCGCGTGACAGTTCGTCTGCTACGAGATTCTTTTCCCTCGAGACGGGTCGTATATATGCAGTAAACTGAGATGCATAGTCAAGGTGGCGGATCTCGCGTGTTGAGCAACGGTCGGATGCTGACCGCAACGCATAAACCAATGGCGTGTTGTCTGTAAAGACCGCAAATACACGACCTTCAAGGACATGTCTGAAGTGACGTATGCCCAGGTACATTGCCAGTGGTTCTCTACCGAAGGTGCTATGCCTGGACTCTGCAGGTTGTATGCGCTTGGAGAAAAATGCATAAATTTATCTGCTGTTGTAAAACACAACGAACTGGACGCTCGATTAGCAAGAGCCATATTCGTCCTGTGCAACTGAACCGAACTGAATTGACTTCAAGACCAGAAAAACCTGACCTTGATTGTGACCTTGCATCGCATGAAGAACAGAACCGCCGTGTTTTGTTGTCGACGGCATTGTTAGCCCCATGGCGCCGAATGCGTCAACAAGAGGGGATAGCTCCGCTCAAAGAAGACCTTCGTAAGAAACCATGTTAATTGTTCCCATTAATTCGAATTAGACAAGAAAATGAGGACCTGTACGGTATTCTGGAGGTCACTAAAGATGCGACACCAGCCGATATCAAACGAGCTTATCGTCGCGTATGTATTTGGTGGTTCACGGATTGTTTATCAATTGAATGTTTAGCTCGCTCTGAAGTATCACCCAGACAAAAATCCAGATGATCCTGCGGCTGCGGAAAAGGTAAGCACTAATGCTTGCATCGGGTGATTCGAACTTTCTTAGTTCAAAGAAATCAACCGGGCCCATGCAGTCTTGAGTGATCCGAGTAAAAGACAGATATACGATCAGTACGGATCGTTCGGATTGTATCTAGCGGAACAGTTGGATGAGGAAACGCTCCACACGTATTTTGCACTTCAGAATCCGTGCGCCAAGGTGAATGATTAACGACGAATTTCCTAATGTAATAATTTTCATCGTTGAGTTATTTCGCGTATAAATCTTATGACTTATATTTATAGATTAAGAGGAATTAACTTCGAGGTATGCTTGAATTTTTTGTTAAGCTGAAATTCAATTTCATATTTTTCCCATGTATAAGAAAGTTCGTGCCCCATAGGACGCTATCTACCTCTTATATTGCCACCACTAAAGTACACTAAGACTCTGCTCCTAGCACACTGTTGCTCGTGGCGTATTTCAAAGCTACCAGGACACCTGCTCGGAAACTGGTTCATTCAATTCCCGCTTTCATTTTTTGCACACTTGAGTGTGGTAAACAACAAACGGAGTAAACGCTATGGTCACGCGGACCAGCTATTCTTCGATGAAAACCGGTAACGTAAGCCTCGGGACTTAAAGTGATGAACCACACAAGGCCCCGATAGGTGCTGTTGAACCAGCCTGTTTCATAGCTATCACCCAAGAGCGTTTCACAGAATTTTTAAAGCATGGAGACGATCTCGACGAGACTGCACCTTCACGTGGTGGGATTACTTGCGTGCCTCCATGACACTGCGAGCTACACACGATGGCTTTTCACAGCCGTAGATCCAATCCTGCCTGAAAGGTCAACGGGTAGAGGCCAGACGAAGCTCAGTCTCACAAGCCAGCTGCTTGGGCACCCCCTTGCTTCTTCTATCCACACACGCCCCTGGAGAGTTCACTCCAGTAAATAAACACGGTGAGGGGCAGTTTACCGGTCAACCCCCCCCCCGCTAGATAGACGTAGGAACGGGGTACCTGAGGCTTCCTCTCGACGGTGGGAGAAGCTTTCACACTTCATTGGGCAACTACCGCCGGCCAAAGCTTGGCAGCTCCCAGCCAAAAAGGTGCTGTCCTGTCCACGTTTCGTTTGTTTCATTGGGTTCATGAGACTAAGGGCCAATCCCAAACAGCGGACCCATAATCAACGCACCAGCGAAAAACACAATTAATCGAAATTCGAAGGCCTTGCGTGACAGGTCTCTAGAAGCTCCCACACGGGTGCTTCGTTCACGCTCCCGCGTTGGATGTACGCCCCACTGCCTTGTGGGTCAGACTTTTGAGTCAAAGACTCCGGTTAGAGTTCCCAAAGAAAAACCCCTTAGTCGGTGTGGGCTGCCGCGAAGTATGTCGTGCCCTAAAGTCTTGGGTACCCATTCGGAAAACCATCTTTCCCATCTGCTTAGTCCTTCTTCTCAATCCCGAATTTCCCCAGGTGCCTCCTGCTTACGAGACCCATCGCATATCACTCAGCGTTCAACTAATAAGGTGAACCACTCAGAGGCTCAATGCCCAAGTAGGATCCCTGAACGAGTCAGAAAGGCGTCTTGGCGGACCACGTGCAATCCCAGCCAACCGGACGGACAACGGAGACCGCCTGCTTCAACTCTGCACGGACCACGGATTGCTCCTGTCAAACACTAACTTCTCGCACAAGAAACGCCATCGACTTACATGGAAACCGCCAACCTCTTCACTGCGCTGGACCCAAATCGACCACATCACCATCAGTTACCACTGGCAGGGATCAATTCAAGACTGCCGGTCTTACTGGTCAACACCTGTGGATACAGACCACGCCTTGATACGAACCAAGTTCTCCTTACGCCTGGCAAACAACCGTAAAACAGCCACCGAAAACGTATACCTACGATATAATGTCAGCGATTGTTGCAAATCAGCCCTCAAAGCGGAACTCTCCGATCGCCTGTCAGTTCAACCACCAGCCGGAGGACTCAATGAACACTGGAAGCAAATCAAGGAAGCTATGCAAATATCAATAAAAACAACGTCAGACCCTCACGCAGGCTCAAAACATAAACGACGGATCTCATCGACCTCGGCTGCCCTGCTGGACGCCCGATGCCGGATATGACAAATCCTTCAAGCGCCGGCTCATCAGGAGTCGGACGAATGACCGCGAGAAGTGGTGGATAGGAAAGTGTAAAAAGATGGAGAAGACTGCGGCTATTGGTAATAGTCGTAACCTTTTCCATCAAATTAGAAATACGGACCCTAGGAAAATAGGCGTGGGGTAATTAAGGAATGCAATGGCAAACTAATTCAGGATCAGCAACGTCGTCTTGACCGTTGGGCTGAACATTTCGAGGCTCAGTTCAACTGGCCCCCATCGACATTTTATCTTTCACTCTCCGCCTCGACTGGACAAATACTTCCAGTTGATGCTAATTTATCTCAAAAGGCATAAGGCCTCCGACCCAGATGGGCTGTTCTCATCAGCGTTTAAGAGTGGAGGCTCAGTGTTAGTCTTGGAGTTGATAAAACTCCTGGGCTCAATATGGGAAAGAGGAGGTTCCAGCTGAATGGTGTGAGTCAGTGGTCATACCGATTTACAGGAAAAGTGATAGATCCTCTTGTGAAAATTAGTTAGTTAGTTTAGTTTAGTTTAATCAACATTGCTTCTAAACTTCTCGTTAGTAGCATACCGTCTATTGTCTGCCGCACGCGAAGAGTGTACCCGTGAGAACCAGGCTGGTTTTCGACCCGGCCGAGGTTGTATCGACCAAATCTTCACTCTTCACCAAACTCTAGAGCACCGGCATTCTTTTCGTAGACCCACCATCTCTATTTTTCTGGATCTTAAGGCGGCTTTCGACTCAGTCGATCGCTCTAAACTCTGGCGCTTCCTTTCTCTGAAGGGTGTGCTCGAGAAGTTAATTTCAATATTACGATCGCTTTATACTAATAGCCAAAGTCGAGTCCGGGCCTACGACACTTTCACCCGAGTTCACCACGGAAAGTGGTGTTCGTCAGGGTTGCCCTCTCTCCATTTCTATTTAACTTTGTTATAGATCTGATTATGGAAAGAGCCCTATCCTCGTGCGAGGATAGTGGCATAGATTTACTTCCAGGTGTCAGGCTGTCTGATCTGGAGTACGCAGACGACATTGTGCTACTAAGTGAAGATCCAGGTAAGTTGCAAGCATTTTTGGATAACTTGAATGCCAGTGTAGCCATATTCGGTATGGGTTTTGCACCGTCAAAGTGTAAGAGTAATGCTAAGGTTCGGTTGAGAGTTTTTGGCAACCGCGGTCACCCACCGGAGTAAGTGGTCGATATCCATGGATCACGTTGTTTGGGGCATATGTTACGCATGTCACCAAATAGGTTGCCAGGGCAAGCGATGTTTGCCGAGGCGGATAGTGAATGGAATAAAGCCCAGGGTGGTCAAACAAAGACCTGGCATGAGGATATGAAAACCCTAATCAGGAGACTGGGTCACTTAGGTCCCGTTAGGCTCCCTGGCTGGGGACCTCGGGATGATGGTCACCGATGGTTAGAGACACTGAGTGATATGGCTGGGTTTCGCAAACAGTGACGTTCCTGCATATCCTCAATTTCTTTGCAACCTTAGAGTATTGAACTCCTCCATTTTCTGTTCGACTCCACTTTCAACTTCCCTTCTCCTATTCCTAATCGAACTGGGCAGCCGAAAGACGGCAACCAAAGTCGGTGCAGAAATATGCTTGGGTACTCGTTGTACAAGCTGAACTGAACCGTTATCGTTCCCCTAATAATTGCGACTCCTCCATCCTTAATTTGCTATCATCGGACATGCAACACTTGTTTGGAGCCGACCCCAACTGCCATGTTGGTAACTTGGGAAAGTTTAACGTTTACAATGAGGACTGATTGACACATTCATCCGCTACTTCTTTGTGGTTCGTAGCTGAACACTTCGCTTTGGTCCACAACCTTAGACAACTAGTTGACCTCCTCACACGTTTCCCTGATCGAGCGGACGATCCAATTCTCACTGCGGTTCCTTCTCAGATATTGGTAGTCTTCCTCCTCTTGGCTCATGGAATCACTGTATTGTTTCTTGTTCTATTAGGTTTACCAAACCCGAGGCGTCACCCACCTCGAGACACATTGTGACACCACAACTCAGCCAACTGAGACGGTTTCCGTGATTTCCTAAATGCTTTTCCCTTGAACGACTTGTTTCTCTTCGGACGTTTCCAAATCTGTTTCCAACTTCACTGACGTTTTTCTTCAACGTATGCATCTTTTTATTCCGCACTTTTCCAAACCCGGCAAACCCCAATCCCCTGAGTTGTTTATCCATGCACGTGAACGTGCGTTAAACGTTCAGCCTTCCGTTGCTGGCGCCGCTCGCCCACCCCCTCGCACCATCGCTTCGTGCAAGCTAGGAACAGATGCTCGTCGGCCACTCGGAGAACCAAAGAACGCTTCGTTCGCCGTAAGGCTGAAAACTTGGTTTCGTCCGCTACCTCTAGCCGAAAATTCTAGTCGCTTGCCAAAGCGATTTTCCGTAGTTTTTGTCCCTCCAACTTCCTCTGGTGATCTTGTATGTCAATCACAGGAGAAAGCTGAGGGTTTTGCTTCCCAGTTTACCGCCAATTCCACTCTACTCCCATTTTTCTAGTTATCCACCTTCTTCCTTCATGGGTAACCCTTTTATACATCATATTAGCACTAGGAAAATCCGTCAAACATTGAGCTCTCTAAACGCAATCAAACTAACCGGTCCGTACGTTATTCCACCCATTGTCCTCAAAATGTTTGCTCCCGAGGTGACTCCAATTTACATCGTCCCTTCAGTTTTTCCCTCCAACCTTCTTCCTTTCCACCCCCCTGGAAACGCCGTGATTTTTCCCATTTCAAGAAAACGCGGCGACGCTTCTGATCCCAGCAATTACCGATTCATTTCCCTCACATCTGTTCTTTTAAAAGTGTTATAACTACCATCTTTTTCACTACACATCAGTGTGCGATGAATAGCAGTCAGGGTGGATCCCATATCCACGAAGACTTGCTGTTCAGTGATAGTAACCGGCAACCCAAGTCCTGGGGCTTGGAGTGGCAAACCACATAAGGCTCCGCTATCTCACGCGTGGTATAGAACCGGGCAACAGCAAACTCTACCAGCTGTGTACGTTCTTGAACGTGAAGAATTACTGACGAACCGCCAGTATGAC